TTCAACTTGTAATTGCCATGTATGAATGCCATTCCAAATGATTTCATAATGCTTAAGCAATGTATATTAAATAACTAGGTTAAGTCTACATATATTGTAATGAATAAGGCTCAAGAGAGCTGTAATAAATAAATAATAATAATCATAATCAAGATTACGCCTGATCGCGATTAGTACACTAACCCCCAAAGAACAGCCCGTACTTACACTGATGGAAAAAAATATTAAAATCAAATAGAAACGTTATTGATCTTACTATAAACGTCAACGAAAGTACTGTATATCGGTAAATATTCAATTCAATTACGCGCATATTAAAATGACCGCGTTCGTACTGAAAAAGCATCCGAGAAGAGAATAATCAAGAAAAAACTAAAAAAAAAAATTTATTTGCATGTTGCCTGCAGCGGAATTCGAACCCAACCATCTCCGGATACCAACAACTTGTGGCAAGCATCTTTGCGCATTCAGCTACACCCAGACATATAAATTTGCTTTCAAATGTTGAATATCCATCAACACCACAGAACGCGATTTGTCCGGATAAACATGTATGTACTATTTATGCACGATTGACAGAAATTCTTGAGAATTCTACTCTCATTCTACCATTCTTGCTATGTGTGTATGTGTGTTTTGTCACCGCTCTCAGTGCGGCGCTCTGCATGCTTGGGGTGCGTATGTACACTTACATATACGTACTCAGATGTGAACAGTCAAATACGTGCGTAATAAATTTTGTATGAAAATATTATTTTTAAATACGGACTTTTTAAACGACAATCAAAAATAAAGTGTTCATTTTCACTATGCATTATTTCCCTCAGTGTAGCCATCTCGATCTTTACGAAAGACATTAATTAATTCGGATCAAAAAAGTTGTTGTTCAGCCACGTCTCCACGAAGGTAATAACGTCAAAATCCGAATTCGCGCTCCCTAAAATAGTTGCATCAGACTTTGCTTGAATTTTCAGGGCACAAACACACGGCAGTTTTGATTGAGAATCAATAAGAGTCACTATCTCAATAATTTAAAATGTGAAAATTGTGTGTCTGTACACTAAGAATCAAGTAAAACGCAAAGCAAATAACATAC